TGGGCTTTGCCGTTAACACGCCTTCCTTTCCAGCTTTCTAATTCAGAAATTCCAAGAATTATCTTGTTGGTCTTGGGCTCTCTTCTGTCCCCTGTGGCTGAACATGCTAGAACACATTGCATGCCAGGTTACTGGGGGTTCCTGCTCTTGAAAGTTATCTGCCATGCTCAGGCTCCAGAGAGAGGACTTCATTTGCTTAGGGTTATGTGTTAGTGGCAAGACAGTGAATAGTTCTGTCCTTAGACTTGGGGAGGAAAAGGACCTTTGCCTTCAGCCCAGAGCTGTAGACACTTTGACTTTCTTCCAAGCTAATCTCAAGGGGGAGGAGTCCATGGGATCAGTGTGATGTGTTTACCTGTTGTCTTTTCCCCCCAGTTCTAAACCCCATTTTGGATACCTAGGATACTGTATTCTCTTGTCTGGACCCCTCTCAGGCTTTCGTGGCCTTCTTCCCTGAACTGCCACGAGAGTGTGGACCTTGCACAGCCCCTGTGTGCCTAGGCCAGCGGGGCAGGTGTGTCAGGAGGGAAGGAAGAAATGGCAGCCTTGCTCAGTTGCAAAGCCTTATGCTTAATGGGACCAGCCAAAGAGGGGAAGAGGGTGCCGCTTTCCCCGAACAGCTCATTCTGGCACAGCACTCTGGAGGACTCCATAGAACTCTCAAGACGTGAGCCTGGTCTTCCAGGTGGTGCCGAAGAAGGTCTGTTTGTCTAGGCAGGAGGATACAATATTCGTCATTCAGTAGCTTGCCGGTGTGATTTATAACTGAATATGTAAGCTTGATTTATGGCTTTTCATTTGTACTCTTGCACCAGGCCTTGAAAGTGTTTGAGGCAGACCTGCCTGAGATGGAAAATTTAAAACACAGCTTTGTTCTTCATTTGTTTCCTGGTGGTCTAACAAATCAGTACATTCTTAACATTACTCTTAGCCAGGCAAACTACAGAAACTCTGCATTCGGTAGGTTTTAAAATTGGGTAAGATTTTGTTTGCTCATTCTGATGTGTTCCTCCCCACACTACTAATGGCTTGACCTGTGTTGTAAGACTTGTTAAGAAAATGGGGCCTGATATTATGTTACTCTTAAGGGCAGGCAGAGGGGCACCACTGAACCCCCAAACCTGCCTCCTCTAAATAGGTTCTGCCATCTGCCGCATCAAGACAAGACATAAGACCTTTAAGGGAAAGAAACTTTAATTAGTGTGCAAACAGAAAAGACGAAGAATATAGTTTCTAAATCAAACACTCAAAGTTACTGTCCCCTCGTGTGTATAAGTCTATCCAAAAGGGATTGGCCCAAAGCAAGGCCTGAAAACTCGCCACAAGCCTAAAGCACCTTCCAGCAGGGACCCAATGAAAAAGGATCAAAAATGGCCAGGCAAGTCTGGGAGGAAAAGAGCACAGTCAAAATCAGGATAAATGGCTGCCGTAGTGAACCTCCCATGGGTCTCTCACCCACACCTGTTTCAACCAGTCCAGGACCAAGAAGAAACAAGCGTAGTTTCTTCACATGTCTCTGTTCCATGTAGCTCCCTCAGGGTACTTTCTGGCTCTCCATCTTGCGGCCTTCCTTCTCAGTATCCTCTCCATATTCTTCTCTCCTCAGCTCCACCCTTCTTTTGGGTAGGGCAGGGAACCTGGAACCTTCCCTTTTTCTGGGGACCGCCCTTTTACATTATCAGGCATTAGTGGCACAAGAATATCTATATGACATCTTTTGAGGTCAGACTGACCTCTTAGCCAAACGGTTTGAGGGCAGTACAATCATCTTGTGTACTAACTTTTTACAGTGGGCCAAATCCCAAGGGGATTATTATGTGGAGGCAGAAGGCCACCATAAAAACCGTGACTGTTTCAATTTGTGGCAATTTGTGTTTTCATCTCTCAAGTCCATTTCAGTTTGTTTCAGGCTGTATAAGCCGCCAGGTAGCTGATGGAGCTTGGTTCGCTTAACCTGTTGATAAGCCGCCAGGTAGCTGATGGAGCTTGGTTCGCTTAACCTGTTGATACCATTGTTGTATTTTAAAAGTACCTGGTTATGTATTTTGAGTGTGGAGAGAGAAAGGAAAAGACATGCCTGTAAGTTTGAAATTATGTATATGCTCAAGCCATTTTAAACTTAGCAAAAGTAGCTAATGCAGAGAACCACTTTTTTCTGAGCCATTTTAGAGAAGGGGCCAGCACCATGCCCACCTAAGTTACTTCTCTCTGTTTCTCAAGGCTTTCTGCATGATAAAAACTGGCCTTCAACCTCAAGAAATTCATAGCTGTACCACACCTTCCAAGGCTCACATCCCTTTCAGGTTTATCATTTGTTACAACCCTGCTCTTTCTTTTCTTTTTTTTTTTATTACAAAAGTTTATTTTTACATCATTTTGTACATTTTTTTTTCCATCTCAATTGTAATCCCCGCGGGTTTCCCATCACCAAGTCACCCATGTGCCATCACCATAATCCCGTGCATTTCCCTCCCCCCACCCTGTTTTTGATCCCATTCCCCACTCCACCCCCACAAAATGGCTCTGGTATATGGTTGTTCATTATTTTTGTTATTTTCCACCTGGTCCATTATACTCCTGCTATGAGTGAAACCATCCGGTATTTTTCTTTCTCTTTCTGGCTTATCTCACTGAGCATGATCTTTTCCAGTTCCATCCAAGTTGCTGCAAAAGACATGTGTTTCTCTTTTTTGGTTGCTGAGTAATATTCCATTGTATTTATGTACCACATCTTTTTTATCCAGTCATCTACTTTTGGGCATCTGGGCTGCTTCCATGTTTTTCCAATTGTAAATAAAACAGCAATAAACATGGGGGTACAGGTATCTTTTTCAATCAGTATTTTTGTGTCTTTTGGGTAGATACCTAGGAGTGGGATTGTTGGGTCGTAGGGAAGCTCCATGGTTAGCAGTTTGAGGAACCTCCAAACAGTTTTCCATAGTGGTTGTACTAGTTTGCATTCCCACCAGCAGCCCTGCTCTTTCTTAATGGCAGAAAGTATCCAGTTCAGCTTTACATGTGCATGTGAATCTGGTGTCACTTTGAATATTACTATCCAATTATTTTGTAAACTGTCCCTCAGCACACATCCTCTGATATTCCCTCCAGCAACAAATCTTCAGAAATACCAAGCCACGCCTGCTGCTCATTAGATTATGGGACCTGGCTCTGGCTTCCAGATCCCTTTTGAAAGTCACTTGAGTAAGAGATTCTATCTGACAGACTGCATGGACAAGGGTTCCTATTTTCCTTGTCTGGAACTATAATGGGTTTTGTAGAGAGTTATTTCTAAGTTATGAATATCCCATTCCTCATCAAGCTTCATTAATTAGTTAACTTTAGGCTTATGTAGTTTAAAGTCTGCTCTAATTTGTTCTTATCCTCAAATTGTCCCAGAGTTGACCAGGTGGAGCGCCTTTAAGTTAGCTTGTTTCCCCATGACAGTACCCCTTCATTCTTTGAGCATTTTCTTGTTTCAGGCCTTCTCTTGCACTGTCATTGCCCTAGCACTGAAACCTGATATTTCTTTTTTTTGTTTTGTTTTTCTTTTTCTTTTTAAGACATATTTATGCATACATGAACTGGGGTACAAGCCAGAGTTGCAGGGGGTGAGATGATTCACCAAAGACAGAGTGGGAAGAATAGGCAAGTATACTGAAAATATACTGCCGAGGGGAGTAGTGGGTGGGTCAGGAGAGGTCTGTCATGCCAAGTGGGTCAGCTTCCTGGCTGGAGATTGAACTCATGCTGCAGTGGCTGTGGCTAGCCACTGCACTGTGTGCTTTAACCCGTTGCACCACCAGGGAGGGCCTGAAACCTGCTGTACAAAGAGAAACATTTCTTTTAGTAGGGAGTGATGATTTAGAAACCAACATAAGAGGTGTTAGGTGTGCTCATTGATAACAGACTATTCATGCTCAGACCTCAGTGGATTTAACATATCTACACTTCTTTCACTTTTTAAAGATTTGTTTTATTATGCATACAAGAGCTGGCTGGTGTGTAGTCCAGTGGTGTGGTGGCAGGGGTAGGAGGATTCACCAGAAACTGAGGAGCAGAACAGGCAGATGCATTGAAATACACTGCTCAAGGGAGCATTGGGGAGACAGAGGTCTGCTGTGACATGTGGGGATCAAATTCATGCTCCAGTGGCTGCAGATAGCTTCGTAGCACTGCGCTTCAACCCCTCGCACCACCATGGATGCCTTTAGACACATTCTGGCTCACCTGTGTTGGTATTTCTATTAGTCTTTGGAGGCTGTACTCTGCCTTATTCTGCACAAGGAATATGTTTCATGCCTTGCTATGTCTCCAGTGCCCAGTGGTGTACATAGTGTTTATTGCGTTGCAATGGGCCTCCATTTCTTTCTTTCTTTCTTTCTTTCTTTCTTTCTTTCTTTCTTTCTTTCTTTCTTTCTTTCTTTCTTTCTTTCTTTCTTTCTTTCTTTCT